TTAACAAGTTGCGACCTCCTAAGGTTCCGAGCCTACCTCGTTCTAACTGAAAGTGCTTGAAGATAGCACGCAACATGATTCTCCCTACGGGCATCCCACCTGACGAGATTCTCTCTTGTTCAACCATATTCTGAAACAAGAGCCCGAACTTACCTTTGCGGCAGGTCTTAAGGAGCTTTGCGGCTATTTCACGATCTAACCGTGGGAAACGCTTGTCCGCGACGAGTTCTTGCTCGGTGGAGGACATGCATGCTTGGGCCCACTGGTAAACTTCATCTCCGGGGGTCTTCTGGAGTCGACCGATGGCCATCAAAACTTGGTTGACGAAACCTCTAGCCTGTCCAGCGTTCTCCGGAGGGGATGGCAACACGAGATCCTTGAGGTCCTTGACGCGAACAACGGATTCCTCATGCGTGGCGTGATCGGTGACGGTCATGCCTACACTAGGATCGGCAGCTTGAGACGGGTCTGCATTGGGGAACTGGCCAGGGCCTCCCCCACCTCCCCCACCACCATTCATGGTGAGGTATGGGCAATCAGTGTCTTCATGGCTGCCGCCGCAAACTCGACATTGTGGGGTATCATCATCTCCATTGGAGTCTGATGATGTGTCGGAGCTTGCTGCCGATGGCGCTTGCGGGGATGACGAGTATAACCCTCCCAACATTGTGATTGGTACTGGTGGAACATGAGTGCCATTGCCAGCTTTCGGCGGAGGCGGCGCCCCAAAAAGGGGAATGGGAGGCACTGGAGGTGGTGCGGCCGGAGGCGGAGGTGGCGGAGCCACTTGATTAGCAACCAATTGGGAAAGCTGCTGAACCATTTCCGCTAAAGCCGTCACTTGCACTCTCACATCGGCTTGATCCCTTGACCGTCTCTACCCAACCCGCTAGTCCTCGACGCGCCGGGGGCTGCGTCTCCAACAGAGGACGCTGCTCCTAGCACTGCCGAATGGCCTACGAGATGTTGACTTGTTGCACCCCCACCAGGGTCCCTTGAATCAGCTGGGGCATCGTGACCAAGTCCTGAACTTTGAACAGAACCACACGGAGGGTCGGGGATAGTACTTGTAAAAGCATTCCCTTGCGACGATGCGGCAACACCGGAGGCATCTTGTGAACTTGAAACCTGAGGTGCTCCAACCGGCTGATGGGTTCCTGGGGGAACTGTGCCTTGACTTGAGGCTTTAGCCGCGCTTGTTTCCGTAGCTGTTTCGGCTATTGATGCGGCTTTTGGCGGGGACTCTTGCATCGGAACAGGGGTCGCACGAGCTTGTTGGGTGAGCTGCGCAACAACACGTTCGAGATCACCAAGTCGTTGATGCATCACAGAATTTTCCTGGGACAATCCACGAATGGTATGCTCTTGACTGGCAATGGTTTGCTCCCTTTGTAGGATTGCCTGTTGAGCCTCTTGAACAATGCGTTGAACCTCTTGCTGAGCGTCCTGTTGAGTGGCATTAACAACCTGTCGTGCGTTCTCGACATGGCCTAAGGCTTCCTGTCGTGTCTGCTCAATGAGTTGCCTAGCCTGAGCCTCACTTTGTTGTGCTGTTTGAACAGCCTGCTGTGCTTGCGAAGCTAGCTGAGCGGCCTGAACCCTAACGTCTGAAACTTCTCTTACAGCCCTTTCCCTGATCCATCCGGCCTCTTGTCTCGCCTGATCGGCGGCCTGCTGTTGATGCAAGGCGTGATTGGCTGCCTGAGCAGCGAGGTCGGATGCTCGATGAGCTTGCTGCACCGCAGCTCCAGCTATAAATGCCGCAGCGGGTACGTTAGTCATCGGGTCAGGTAATTGCGATCCCTGTGAAGGAAACTGAATGGCTGGGGAAGCTTCGGATGATGTCGGTTCTGACACGATCGGACCACTCGGGGGTGATGATGGTCGTGTTTGGGCTGCTCTTTGAGGTGTGGATGTGCGAACTGTGGACATAACTGCAGGAACCATGGCTAGGTCAGGGTCATCCGGTTCAGAATCCCTATTTGGGGTTGACCTTGAACGGGGTTCTGATGGCGGTGACAAACCCGTTGAAGCCATGACACAGCAATGCAACTTTTGCACTCACACGAAGCTAGCTCCACGCGCTTTGAGCAGCGTGTCAAAAGGTGCTACGAGGAGATATCCCTGGATTGGCAGCTGATTGCGACACGCTCAAGTGAGCCACTCAAGAAAATACGTTGCGAAACGCTCAAGTGAGCCACTCAAGAAAATGCGCCCTGCTGCTTTGCACCTGATGAATTCTGTATTTGTAATTGTACTTGTAGATTGATTGATCCGCACTGCCGCACTATGGTGCTTTATCGAGGGATGTTGCCAAGCTGTATTGAGAATTTGTCTGCAAATCGAAAGCTTGTAATTGCAAAAGCTGTACCGCGCAAAGCGACGGTTTTAACGGCTTGCAGCAATAGCTACCGAAGTACCCGGCTGGCGGGTAGCTGAGATGCAGATCGGTGGAGTTCCTCGAGGTATTGCGATGGATGCAAGCCTCTCGCCGCCGGAATAAATTGTCTGTTCCGGGATTCAATGAACTCACCGAGGTTCTCAAGTGCGTTGCCAAAACCTCCCGGACCGAAGTGCGGATAATTGCGGAACGCCGCGATGCCTGTCTTTTGAGCTTCACGGACAATCGATGCTGTATCGTCAATAAGGGCGTGTACGCCCAGCCCTTGCAGGGCGTCTGCTTTGCCTCCCCTTCCCAACCGTTCGTGAACGATTTTTATCGCAGAAAAAGTGAGTCCAGATGTTGCCCGCGCGTGCTCCAGGGCGACCTGAAATTCGCGGCGGCGATACTCGCTTGCAGCCCTGCCCACGAAGGATAGCACTATAAAATTTATAGGTGCGTAGTCCGCTGCAAACTGAACGAGATGTCGGATCACTTCCGGGTTGAGGTGGGGTCCCTGCTGCCCAACGTCAAGAACTCCGTGCCAGTCAAGAGCAACAACAAGCTCCTTGGGCGGCACCGGCCTTCCAGGCGGAGGTGGTGGCGGCGGGGGCGCAGGCGGTGCCCTCCTTGGTGGCGAGCGGAATCGCGTGCCAGCTTCAGGAGTTGCAGCGCTAGCAGCAGCTGCTTGAACGACCTGCGGAGGTGGCGGCTTGACGATGTACCCGAATTGTGGCGGGTTTGAGCTCGATTTGCTTCTGGGTTCGGCCTTGTTCAAGCCTCGCGGAGGTGCCTTGTACCCGAATGCACTCTGAGTCCGAACCGGAGATCTGGCCCTTGGCGGTGACTTCCTCGGGATGTCTGCCTTTGCAGGCGCTGGAGAAACTGCCTTGGGGTCCTCCTTGGGCAACGGTGGCTTGCTGCCGAAAATGACCTTGGGAGCGGCCTTTGGGGGCGGCGGTTGAACTGCCCCGATTCTTCGGCTGTGAAGCGCGATGGGCTCGGAGTGAGTCGGCGCCTCGTAAACGCGCCGAGGCACGTATGCTGACCTGCCCGTCCTGATGGACTCCAAGTTTGCGGTGGGTCCTCGTCCGAGCTGTAGGCGTCGAGGCGGAAGGTTTCCGCAGGCGCCGGGCGGCGGTCAGGAGACCGTGAGCGTGAGCTCGTGGAGGACCTCCTTGGCGGGTCCCTCCACGTCTCGTCAGCGAGGAGGTAAGGATCGGCTTGGCGAAGCTGCCCAGACGTCCGTTGCGCTCGCCGACGAGGAGCCGCTTCACGTGGTTGTGATGCCTCCCGCACCAATACCCAGGTACCGTGTTCGTCAAACCTCGTCACAGGGTAAATGCTATTCTGTGGAGCCAAAACGATGGGCCGAGTGGCTAGGGAAGTTCTGGATGGCCTTCCCTCCCGCGCAAGCGCGGGTTCAACACTATGGGCCCGTGGTTCCACAGGGGCAGCAGCAGTTGGTCCTCGTCTCGGTGATGTCGATGGAGACCTCGACCTTCTTGGCGATGGGGACCTCGATCTTTGTGTTGATCGCTCCCTGCTGCTCTCCCGCCGCGTTTCCGCAGCTTTAGCGTATACCCCGCGAAGAGTTGACTTTGCGGCTTGTCTTTCCTCTGCAGATGGCCGAATGCGAGGCAAAGGAGTGCGCGAATCTTGCAACCAGGAGGAAGCTGATGGAGGCGTCGGAGGACGAAGCCAGTCCGCTGCACTGCTCGATGCTCCCGCCGCGCCTGAGGCTGCGGCTTGATCCTGAGATGGCACACCCTGCGGCAATACCACTCCTGTGGTTTCAACCAATGCGAGACGCTGCTGATAAGCGTTGTCCGCGGCCTGGATCACGTCGAAGGCTTCTTGGTCAAAATTCCACAGGTGCCAACTATCCAGTGACTCACGCCAGGAGAAGAGCGCCTCGACCTGTTGCTTCGAGGCGTCCGCAAACCTGATCCACCGGAATCGTCTGTTCTGCCGCTTGTACTCGTCGACGACGATCTGTTGCAGAGTGTTGTACAATCGGGCACGCGGCCCTTTCCCACCGCGTGTGCCGCGGTGAGGGCCGACTTCCATGTGCGACCAACAGGTCGCAGTCACGGAAGGGTTCGTTTACCCGAAAAGCGTTACGGCTGATAACCACTCAAAGGAGAGGGAAACACAGTTTTGTCAACAACGGGGGAACCCAGGACCTTAAAAGGAACGAACCCCTCCGTGACTGCGACCTCTCCCTTAACCTTGGGGCTAGCGCGGTGCAACGCGCTGTTTTCAGCACTTGAGCCAAAGCAGTGATTGGATCATGCTTTGGCAATCACTTGAATGTACAACATGCAACTGACTACATGGGGACCTACCTCATGTACCTCTGGGCCATAAATGTCATCGTGATAATTGACTGCAATCCAATGAAATGTGACGAGGCAAAACCTCTCTACCCAGCCCAACTCTTGCGAACTCACTTTCCCAGCTTCCCCCACTTCCTACATGGAAGCTCCCGAAACCCCTGAAGACCGCCTGGGAGCTTCCGGCTGTTCGACTGTGCCTCACCCCCCGCCCTCTCCGCGAAAAGAAAGAGAAAGAAGAAGCCTCTCGGCACGGGTCCGGGTCCCACGTTTTCCGCGGACGCCTTCGTGGCTTTCTCCATGGCCTTGAAGACTTGCGCGGAACCCCCGGCGTTCACCTCCTCCTGGACGTGGTAGAAGTCGTCCTATGTCGCGCATTCGACACCAGAGCTGTTTCCAAGGGAAAGTGGCAAGATCTAAAGTTGCGGAGGCTTGAGACTAGGATGGAAGCTTCTTGCTGAAAATATGTTTGCAGAAGCACGGTTTGATACAAACCAGCTGCTTGCATCGCCACTCACCCAATCTGTGAGATGGTTCCTGAGCACATCATAGTCTTGCGTCAATATGTATCTCGCCAAAAAATGTGTGCTTGTGTATGTGTGTGTGTGTGTCAAACATCGGTTCTTAGTATCGTGCCATCAACTTGAGGTGAGAAGTCCAAGTATAGCATCTCATACCGATTGTCAAAAAAAGTGTGCTGTTGATGTGTATACGCATGTTTATGCACGTGTATCTATGTATCTATGTATGTATCGATACATCTATAGTGTCGTATCTTTTTGTATCTATGTGTATCTATGTGTATCTATGTGTATTTATGTGTATCTATGTGTATCTATGTGTATCTATGTGTCTGTCTGTCTGTCTGTCTGTCTGTCTGTCTGTCTGTCTGTCTGTCTGTCTGTCTGTCTGTCTGTCTGTCTGTCTGTCTGTCTACCTGCCTGCCTGCCTGCCTGCCTGCCTGCCTGCCTGCCTGCCTGCCTGCCTGCCTGCCTGCCTAGCTATCTATGCATCTATCTATCCATCTATGTATCTGTCTGTCTGTATCTACGTATCTATGTGTCTATGCATCTATGAGTATATTCATGTATCTACGTATATGCTTATGCATCTATGAATGTATCTATGTACGTATCGTTGTATGTATTTTATGCACGCATGCATATGTGTGTGTGATAAACTTCTACCGCGGCCTGTGCAGCCATCTCTCTTAGGCCTGCGTCCATTTGCATGTGCAGGTCTACAAAAACCCTCTGCTCCCCAGCCTCTGGTCTCTCCCATCTGCATTTTGTTTGAAAAATTACCTTCCGTGTTAGGGGAGGGAGCTGTTCATGAGATGAGTGCGGGTCAACAATACGTACCCAGAATGGAACCCTAGCAAAAGAAGAAAAATAAGAAGAAAACAAAAGCAATCGAATCTGCTGTCCAATTCCTGGTCATCTCTATTTGGACCCATGCGACCAAAGGCCCATTTGCTCCCGTTTGCTCATTTGCCGAGGGGCGATGGTCCCGGGGTTGTTAATGATGAAGCAGTGGATGCCGAAGCCCGGGCCCTCCGCCCCGGAGCGCTTCCCCGCCAGGTGCACCCCCTGGCGCCGCTTCCGGTGCCGCCGCGCGTACTCCCCGCCTGGTGCGTCGAGTCGAGTCAAGCGACGGCAGTCCCATCCTTTCCGTTTGAATAGGTCGACTGGTCGTGCACCCCTTGGCTCTGAAAAAGGGGGATTACTAGATTACCCTCAAAAAAATCCTTGCCTTGAGATGCGAACTCTCACCACGCGACTCCAACCGCTCAGGCCTCCATCTCTGGACCACCACTCCTCGCGAATCTTCTGCATGCTTTGCCACAGGTTTTCGCGAACTTGGTCTGGGTGATTTGTTGCTACCTTGGCATCAGCAGGGCATTTTATGGAAATCATGCACAACCATAATCTTAGGTCGGAATCTGCAAGTTCGGCGAGTGGTGCGCACAAGTCATTTGACCGCGGGCATGGCGCAAACCTCTGGTCAGCTCTAGAAGACTTGTTGCGTCTCAACCCAGCGGGCTTGTAAATACAAAGAGCCATCTGCCACCTTGAAGCAGGAATCCACCGCGACTGTGTGGCCTCCCGGATGCTGCGCCAGCAACACGCCTTGCATTGCAGGCCCTGGCTGGAAGCGTCCGCCTTGGCACTGTGCTGTGGGCACCCAGCCACCGAGCCAGACCTCTGTCCAGGTGGCAAGCCCATGGACGGTGTCCCCTTCGCGCGTCAGCGTCGCCCTTTGAAAGCGTTGCCTCAAACGGGGCAGCGGCTCTGCGAGGTCAACCTGACACAGCGTGGTTGGGGCGCTTACCACCGCATGGTCTACTTGCCAGAGCCCACAGGGGAATCGACTCCGCCAAGCGGCTGGTGGATCTGGATGCAGCTCGTTGATGGCCGACACGTCCACGGGCAAATCGCCTGCCCTGATGCGCTGCCGGCGCCGCCAGAGCGCAGGGCAGGCCAGCAGCACTGCCCGGACCCGGAAGAGCCCCGGCAGCAGAACCGCCCCGCGCGCGAGGCACCAGCGCAGCGCGTCGACTTGCGCCCAGTGCTGCCACAGCTGGGCGTCGCAGACCTGGCCCTCGCACTGCCGCAAGAACGGCTCGCCGCAGAGCAGCGCCACGGTGCCGGGGCCCAGCCGTGGGGATGTGGTCAGCTCCACCCGCAGCCGCCGCGCGGCCTTGCCCAGGACCTCCCGGGAGATCGGAAGGTCCTCCGTGGACTCGCAGCTCAGCAGGCAGTCCCCGCGCTCGGCCAGGCGCCGGAGGCGCCGCAGTTGCCTCGACTTGGGGCCTCGCCGCAACAAGGCACGCGCCGCCAAGAGGCTGGTGAACGGCCCGTCGGACAAATCCAATACCAACGCAGATGCAGGAAGAGACTTCACTACTTCGCAGAGCTCATGCTGCAGCTTCTGGAACTTTGGATCGGCAAGCATCCAAAGTCTGCAAGGTGACATTAAAGCCAAGTTGCTGCAAGCACGTGGCATAGGCGTGACCACTGGTGTCTCTGCACCAACAACACGAAACCAAATATCTTCGTCTGTATGAAAGGTTGCAATGCGCAGCTTCTCCCCGGCTAAAACCTGCTGACGTGCCCGCGGAAGGATGCACACAGCTTGGCGCCAATGGTCGATTTCCTCTCGCTTCGGCAGGTGGGCAGCCCATGAAGGGGCGTTAGTCATGGAGGGCGACTTGTCGCCCCTCACCATGTAACAGCACCACCAAAACACAATGGCATCAAGTCGGCCGCTTTGAACTACACGAACATCTGCCACACTGCAACGCCGCGGTTCTGGCAACTGCTCAAAGTTGAAGGACTGTGCGTGGAATTCCTCTGTTAGGACCCGAGCTTGTCCCGCAGCCACCAGCTTTTCCAAAACCACGTCGTGCGGGTTAGCATCGCCCTCATCAGCCGCGTACGCGCGTGGCGCCCACCAAGCATCATCCACCGTCTGCCAACTCGCCAAGGTGGCGCTCTCCACTCCGCAAGCGAAGACCTCCGCCCGTGCCGGGACGGCCAGGTACTGCTCCAACAGCAGGCGGTCTGCCGCGTGGCGCATGGTCTTGAGGCAGTCTTCCCCCAGCAGCCCGGCGTCCAAGATCTCGGCGACCACCAGCTGGGCGCGCGCGCCCGGCGGCTTTCGGCAGGTGGTGGACCGCACAGCGTGCACCCGGAACCGGTCCTGGAGCCCGTTTTGGGCGGCGTTTCTGGCCGCCACCTGGGCCAAGTCCGCGTCCACCTCGAAGGCCTCCACGAAAGAAACCTCCGGCCGCCGCAGCAGCGCCAGGCCCAGCACCCCGCTGCCGCAGCCCAGGTCCAAGGCGCGCAGCCCACCCACGCCATCCAGCGGCAGGCGCCCAAAGGCGTCGCAGAAGGCCGAGACGCGGCTTGCGTCGTGCAACATGTCGAAGTGCCAGGCGTAGGCCTCCGAAGCCTTGGAACCTGCCTGTTCCTTGCGCGGGGTCCTGGATCGGCTGCGCATGGCAAAGGCAGATGCGAGACCCCTGCCCGGGCGAGGTGTTGGCTACTGCCCCCTCTTGTCCTGGATCTTGTTCTATCTTTAAAACTCGGCTTCAACGGCGCCCAAACGGAAGGATCATGTCAATGCCTTTGAACGTGGATGGGTCGACCTTGCCAGGATGGCGGCCAGGCAGTACGCTCAAAGGGCAAAAGGAAATCACTGCAAGCCCCTTCCCGAGCAATCAGCTATTCAAGCCCCAACATGGCGCCTTTGCAATTGACAGGGACAGTGCCACGTTGTACATGCTGGGCCACTCCTGCTTCTAACTTTTGACTGTGTCGCCCTTTGCAGCCTTCCCGGCCGATTGCACATGAGGACAGAATGCAGCTGTGACATGCCACGCCATACTCGGTGAAACAACCACAAAAAGCTTGCAAAGCCGTTCCCTTTCACGTTGCACCCTATGACTTTCTTTATGTAGCTGACCCTGCAAAAATCAACACGCAAAAACGACCCTTAGCTCAGCCAAGATGCAAAATAAAGCGCGCGGCCCGCCATCGTCTTACCACAGCAGCCCCTCACCTCAAGCCAAAGCTTGTGGGAAGATTGCTATGTACTCTTTGAGCAGGCGCTGGAATGAGTCAAGTGGCAGAATCCAAAAGCTTCGTGTGTGACGTGCGAGGTCTCTAAGTCGCGTCTCGTCCACTTGTACAGAGTTCCTTAAGGAGGCATCCAAATATCAAGAGGAATCCTCCAAAGCCGGTTTGATGTTCTGGCCATTGTGCCACTTTCGGAGCCCTGAACCACGGCCAATGATGTAGGCTGTTCCGTCGCTGGTTCTAATTCATCTGTTGCTGACAAGACCCCAGTAATGTGAATTAACACATCCCTGTTTCGATGAAGTCAAACAACGAAACCGCAAAAATGATCAGCAAGTGTTTCAATTCACAGGCCTTTCAGTCACCAGATTTCATTGGGCAAAATCTCGGCTGCCCCTGAAATCAGTAACGTCAACAGATCTCAACCCAATACTAGCCACTGCCACAAAGCAAAGGCCGAAAGAAGTGTGAGTGCATTATCCAGTTGAGTCATGAAATGTTGGAATTCGAGCGGTCTATGCAAAGTCTCAGAGGCCGGAAATCTCCGACCTCGTTTGCCCAAATCCCCGCGGTTGGGTGGTAGATCCCAGTTGAGTTTCATCCGGTGCGAGATGGAAGCTCCCAGCCTCAGACCGCAGCCCGCGCCAAAGCTGCCGCCGCAGGCGCCGCAGGCGCAACCAGATGCCTCAGGGCAGGCAGGGGGGCCTCTCCCGATGGGCAGGTACAGCCCAATAAGAGGGGCGGACGACTCCAGGGAAAAAAGGGGGAAGAATGGAGAGCGAAGAGTTCAAACAGTCTGTCTTGCAACTTAGGAACCCATCAAACAAGGCCTCAAACAAGGCCTCAAACGTGCTCTTTTGTTGGTTGGTTCCCTGTAAAGCCATCAAACAAGACCTCCGTATTTTTTACATGAGGAGAAGGGGAGTTCACTCAATCCATCCTCACTCTCCCAAATCCGGCCTGTGCATCGTGAGCGACGGGGGGTGTCCTGGCATGGCACAATAGATTGAGACACATCTGGCCACAATCAGCACCTCGGCATCACCCCAAATCCAAAGCGAGTCACTGCCTCCCATCATGGGCGCTGGGGGGGAGGGAGGGGAGGTGGAGAGACCCCAAATAAGCCCTAAAAAAGGGCTTAATAAGGGCTTCATCAGTGTTCTTGGGCTCCCTCCCCCTCCCCTCCCTCCACTCCCTCCCCCCCGGCCCCCATAAACCCACACGAGACCCCTCCCCTAACCCGTCGGACTCCTGCCTCGTCGGATTCCAACGAGCGCGCTGAGGTACGCAGCCCCGAGCGCGCCTCGGATCCGAGGCGCACGCGCGCGCGGAGAAGGGCTCTTCGCAGATGCGGCGCACAACAACCGGGGATCCACTTCTCAGGAATTTAGATGGGTCCAGGGATGTCCAAAATCTTCAAAGTGTATCAAGCACAGACCTTTGATCCATTTCGATCTAAGTCTTGTATGCCAATCCAAAGCAAGAACAAGACAAATCTCTACACACTGGTTGTCCTTTGTGCCTCTCTGTACCGAAAGGTTCGAACACTCTGCCAGTTGGCTCTCTGAGGCCCCTGTCGCGATTGACACCGCGGTCTCCTGACAGAGTGGTGTCTGAAGATCAAACCCAAACAAACAACCGGCGATTGTTAAATAGGCCAAGTGGAATGTCTCTGGCTCACTGAAAACTCATGGTGGGGTCCCTAATTCACGGGTATCAGGGCACTCTGCCAGAACAGGCTGAGACTACCTTTCTGTAAGAAATGTATTTTCGCAGGTATGCCGAAGTTGTCCGCACCCACCTAGCACAGGATTGAATTTGCCGCGGACGCATTTGGAGTCCAAAGGAGCCGGCAATCACCTGGGTAACATGAAGTTTAGAATAGTGTTGCCATGATCATGATGTACTCGCTGGTCATCAGGCTGCTTTGCAACTTCAGGTTGATTCAACGTTCATACACCGGGAAAGCTAAGCGATGCGCAGAATCCAAGAAGGGCGATCGCCATCCTGTCGCTAGATACGGTGGAAGCTCTGCCAAACAACTCTCGGCACGGGGCCTGAGGGGATGGAAACATTCGTGGCCGACCTGTCGCGCGGAGTTTCGACCCAACTTTCGAGGACCCGACTCAAAAAAAGGACCAGTATGGTGATGGCGGTCAACTTCAGAAGGAGGATATGCGCACCTCTTTCAAACCATGAACATGCGGGCAAACAAGCCTCAAATTCAAGGATGGCCATTGACACGTCTCAGATCACTGCGCAGAAACTCCATCTCTATAAGAGCCATGGGCATCACACAACTCGGACGGCACGCCTGGCTACAGCCATCCATGGTCCAGACGAGTCACCATCTTGGGAATACAAATCTTTGGAGGAATACAAATCTTTGGAGGTTCTGGTTTGGTTCTGGCCCTTCTGTTTGTTTCCATCATTGCATACATCAATCATCTGTGCGCAATCCAGTGTCTGGGATAATTGCCTGTTCTGGATTGCAGGGATGGTCTTCGAGAACTTTCGTACCGATTCGTCCCATTTGCAATGAACAACTGCATGCAATTTGGAGCAGCCTGAGTGCTTTCCATTCCGGGAATGTGTCCCGTTGCAGATCACAGGGAGAGAAACAGTTCTCACGGCGGCATAACACCTGAGCCTTGCCGAAGCGAATGTCAATCCGCATGACCAAAGCAGTTGCCCACTCAGGCGCAAATCGCCAAGTTCCTTCGGGCGCCATAGCCGCGGTAGGGCCATAAGATCTGCACATTGCACTCGGACGCCCAATTGCTCCTTCCCTCGCCCTTTTCCGGAAGCCGCCGGGTCAACGAACTGCTGGGAGGCTGCCCAGCGAAATCTGATCCCAGAGCCACGGCCGCCATTTGGGGAGCACGAACCATCCATTTCATGGTCCAGTTCCCGAGCCTCGCAAGAGACGAACACTAACGGAGCATTCAAAGCCTCCAGGTGAAACACCATACTCACACCCGATCAGCCTGGACGTTTTGCCGGCATTTGTCGCTTCTGGATCTTGTTTGGCGTTACCTTGAAGGGTCTTTAGGTTCATCCAGAACATGCTTGGTGGCAAGGGGGGCAATATCATGCTTCCAATGAAGCTTTGTGTATTCGGAGGAGCGCAATGAATCAATGTCAACATCTCGCCTCGCCCAGCTGATGTGGCGTGCCCTGGCAGCATAAGGAGCCCTTCCATTCGCGGGCACCCATGCTTGAAGCCCTTCTCATACCTTTACCCGCAAGACGAGCTTTGTTGTCCCATGGCAGTCATGCCATGTGTGCTGTGTGAGCATGGTCCAAATCTGCCGAAGAAAGAACAGTTGGGTCCCATCCCCCTCGCTTGTGTGGGGAGATGGATGTTTTGATCGCACCTGGAAAGGGCGAATGAGCGGGAGGGGCTGCGCGGAGCGGCCTGCCAGCTGCCAGTCAAGAAGGGTCAGCTTTCTCGACTTAGGGTCTCAAAATGTGGGAAGCCCGCAACGGTGGTTGCCCTTTGCTTCCTGTGCAAATATGCTGCATACGTCTGGAAGCAGCCTGCAAACCCAATCCATGAGCATCACCTCTAGCTCCGCCTTTCTCCCGCTTCTCCGTGGCATCTAGGGCACCGGGAACTACATGGGCTTGTCTTTTTGAGGAAACCCGGTTTTGGTTTGTTTTAAATGGAAACCAAAAGGTAAGCCACAAGGGTCCCCTATAAAGAGACACCTCCCTGTACAACTCCTCCCATCCCAGATAGCATGCCAGGCTGGGTCGGGCCTTCTCCTCCAGCGCCACCTCACGCTGAGAACCCAATCATGGTCGGGATGAGGTTGAATTGGGGACTTGGAAGCCCTGTGAACATCATTCGGGTTAATGTCAAGCATTCTCAATGAAAGGTCTTCCACGTTTCCGCTACGTGCGGCACTCTCCTTGTGGTAAAAAGCAACTTGATGGTCCAAGAGTGCGCCCAGCAACTTTCACTCGCTCTGATGAGCCACTTCACTGTCGAAACTGTCGGTCAGAATGAAGCTGAAGGGTGACAATGGCAGCTTCTGTGCAGTGTTCCCAGGGGGAAAGTAGGTCAGTGGGGATGCTACCTTGCCGTGGCAAAGCCACAAAATTTCGGCAGGCGATACCCTTCCACTCCAGCTCCACCCCTCAAAACCATGGCGCAAAAAAGCCGCGCGCGTGTTCCCGGAGCTGCTCGCCCCGGTTTTCAAACGAGTCTGCCTATGTTCAGGTCCACCCGCAAGTACTCCATCGCCTGGAGCTGCATGAGCTTGTAGACCTCACGCGAATGAGATTCACATTCCTATCCCAAAGAACATCAGGCACCTTTGTGTGGACAATGTCAGCAAGATCGTATCATGTGGAGTGTTTCTGCGAGTCAAGTTCCTCCCTCAGAGTGCGAAGTTGCTTGGAATAGCTGGCAACGGGGTTTGATGGGCTCAGGAATAGCCTGTTCACTTCCTTTGCATGGTCCAGTGATCCTTTTGAAGAAGGACGGATGTCCCGGCTCCTTTCAGATCAGTCTGTAATCACGAGTACAACAGAGCAGCGCAGCCTGACTAAGCAATTCAGTCGTATGTAGTTGTCCAAGAAAGAGCGAGCCGTTATCAGCTTGCGAGTTCAGTAGCATTTCTATTCCAAGCACATCTTGAATCTGCATAATAAACTGGGGAAGAAACAAAATCCCAGCACCGGCTCCCAACTCGCGATCAGGCCTTCCAGCAAATGCAAGAGGACAAAAGCCTCGGAGAAATACAATTTCGTTCGCTGTCCTGGTGTTGCCAGAAGCTGTTCCGCTTTTCACACAAAGGCTTTGGACAGAGACCATGTCATGTGTAATAAAAATAATACGATCCACGCTCTGAAGACGGGTAGCTAAGCTTCCAGCTGGCTCAGTGCGCTGAGCAAAACCCACAGCGGCTGCGTGCACAAGGGCCTGCCAGGAATCCAGAAACTCGGGCGGCCAGCTCTTGTTTTGGGAACTGGTACCCTTTTTGGGAGAAGAAAAAAACAGATACCAAAGGAAAACCACCAGTTGTTTTTTGCGGGGTTCGAATTCGAGACAAACCCCATAGTGAGGGTTCAGTTCTGTCTCTACATACGGGAACCCCCAAAAAATAGACGGGTCTCCTTTGATTTCCCTGAAAAACCAGCCCAAAAAGGGTACCCTCAAATCAAGTTAAGTTGGTCCCAGCATGTCCGAGCCCCAGCCTCAAGTGAGGGTCCCAGGTAGGGCTCAAAAAGGGGACAGCCCACCCCCCTCCCCGCCCGAAGATGAGAAACGCGGAGGAACACACAAACTGACGTCCTCGCAAAAAGTGACGGCCTTTTGCTTGCACAAGTCACACGCTTTCGCGCTGCCCCGCCTTCCAGTGCACGGCAGGAGTGTGCCATACCTCACTGCGATTGCGTACCTCAGAAGGCGTGAGCTGCAGGCCAATGCATCTCCGATCAACGTAAACTCTGTTCTTTGGCTTGTGGGGGGCTGACTACCAAAAAAGAAACCAAGGCTCGCTGTCTCCATTCCTTCAACCTGCACCATGCAGATTGTCATGACCAAACACCTTCATGCTGCGAGCTTGACAGTGAGGCTTGATTGAGCCATGGCGAACCTAGCGCAAGTTGCCTTTCTGAGGCCTCAAACACTCGCAGCATGCCGAAGAGGGAGTTCAGGCTCGCCATGAGGAGGTACGGCAGCAACTTAGAAAACTCTCCAGCACCATTTGGAGCAGTGGCAATCCGAGCGGAGGCTGTCTCCCAACAGGGCAAACTGTGCTTTTTCTTTCTTCTTTTTTTCTGAGAAGAACACTCACACAAACAAAGGTATCCCTCCAATAAACACACCAGGAGCTATGCGCCAGGCACAGCTGAGGCCTCCCTCACTCATGGCGCCCAGCGGGGTCTCCTCGCGCCCTAAGGACTGGAAGCCAGTGAGAGGTCCCAATTTGAGACATGCGCGGCGAAGGATTTCTTCGGCCGCGTTTTTCCAAATCTGAAGTGAAATGCCAGATCTCGGCCCATGGCATACTCGCTTGCGGTCCAAGCAAGGTCCCCCCCCAACCCAAATTTCGGACCTAAAGGGCCGCAAAAGGGTCAACAACAAGCAAGTGTTTTGGACAACCCTCACTTGGATCAGTCCTGCAGGCAGCGGAAACAATACCCCAGCGCTGGGTCCTGTCGTTGCAGCATTGGCCCCTAGGAATACTATTGACAGGTCGGCAAAGGTGAGACGCCTCAGAGCGGCTGAGGCCGAATCCTGGTTTTCCCTTTTTCCGTTCAGAAAGCCAACCAGCATGCAGTATCTGGTCATAATTGTGCGAGCCGGGTAGAATCATCACTTGCCACATCTGGCCAAAAAACTGCAAACTGCATGCCAAAAGAGATGACTCTGACAAGGTGTGACGGGTCCGCGGATGAGCGATTCTCTGGCTATCACGATTCTGACTGCATGTGCCGAAGTTTGAGCTGAGCAGAAGCTACTTGACAATGCACAGCGCAGCTGCCGAAGCAGCAGGTGCAGATGACGCAGTCGCGGCTGGTAACTTCGATTGCCACTGGTTCTGAACGAGCAAGGTGGCTCCGATGTGGCAAAGGCTCTGCCACCGCCGCCACCACCACCACCGAACGGGCATTGTATTGTGACGACGCAGCTACTGTCAGCATCCTTACGTCTCCACAGACCTGTTGGCGAACGCGTCACCTGTGCCTTCGTTCGGCAGCACTTCGGGAACGAGTCGCGCTTAAAATGTGGGAGGTTCACCACCTTCAGGGAGAGCGGATGACAGCTGACATAAATACGAAGGTGTTGCCCGCACCAAGGCTGACATTTTTGCACAACTTGCTAGGGCTTGGTTTGCTTCCACGCAGTAAACACAAAGAAGCTGGTGTGCGTCTGGCACAGTGCGTCATCAACAGCAACAGCGGTAGCAACCAGCTTTTTCCTAAGGAACGTGCTTTGGCTGTTGGGGCCCTTCTTCATTGTCGGCGCTCTTGGTTTTGGGGTCAAGGGGGCAAAACAATAAAACACTTCCCTCATCTTCAAGCACCCAAACATTTCAGGACCAAGTCCCGGAGGACTCTTTTGGATTGAGGGCGTTAGCAACGCCTGCTACTTGCGCGGGCCGGCGTTGACTTCACGCTCTGCACGCACTGCCGCTCGACAAACTGCGCCGGCGCCTGCTGAGCAGCTGCGCTGAGGGGCGCCAGCAGCACACTCGTGCTTAGAACAGCGACCGTAAGGCCACATAGACTGAGTTGTGGGCAGGTAGGAATGTCTGTTTCTTTTTGATGGGCCCCGTTCGGGAGCCGCAGCCTCTAAAGCTCTTCGGGCTGTGGGCGGGCGAGCTTCAAGCTGCGAACTCTGTGTTCTGTTATCTTTTGTGACGTTGCTGTGTGTTTCCCACCTCCCCGCAACACTAAGGTGCGTGTCAGAAGACTCCACGTTTCTTCCCTGTAACGAGCTTGTGCCCCAGTCACAGTCACACTGTGAGGGGGGGTGCATGTGCTGGTTTGAGCTGAGTACTTGACGTGGCTCAAGGAACAAGATGCACTGAATGTGTTTCCGTACTCAAGCTCTAACAGCAGCTACCCAGCCGTACGCATGGCTCCCCAAAAAGACCCGTCACGCCAAACATAAGTCAGCAATTCCTTGTTCCCTGTTGTTGGCTTTCTTGCAGGGCAAGTGATTGTTTGCCCATGTCGTCCGAAATCGGCAACAGACTGAAGGTTGGTTCCCAAACGCTCTGCATCTCCCGCCTCTTTCAGCAGAAAGGCGCCGAAGCTGGCTCCGAAGACGTCATTCACGGCTCCGAACGGCTCGTCGGTGACCAGCCTTCCTGACAAGTTGGTGTTCTTCTCGGCGATGTGTTTCTTACCATTGAGAAATTGTGCGGGAGTTAACTGTGAGATTGTCTTGTTGCTTGATCGCGCTGCTGCGAAACCAGTTGGCTGTGAACACTTGGAAACTACCCAAAACAAAAACAACGCACTCATAGTCGTGTTTTGATGCATCTTGCGCCCACCACCCAGTCAAGGAGATATCCGTCTGCTTCAGGTGACCAGCACAAAGGTGGTGAAAAGCGGCTCGTGCGCTCGCCAAAAACAGATCGATCCGGCCTATGGCACTCAAGTAGGTGGCCAGGACCTGTGAGAAAAGCCGTCGGAGTCAGACTTCGGTCACATGGGTGTGGTGGTCAAACATCGGGAAGACCCAATGGGAGGGGGGGAGGGGGAAGGCGGGGGGGGCCTGGTACATGGAAAGGTTGAAAGGACTAAAATCCTGGCGGTCCAGGTGGTGGTAACAAAAACTTTGACCCATACCCACATCCATGCCCGAGCTCTGGCAGCCCGGCACACCACTTGACGCAGGCCAGCTTGGCAAGCATGTCCTCGGTCGGCCTCACATTTAATACATCTGCAAGTGAAGTGAGTCACAATCAAAACCAGGTATCAATGGTCTACCCAAAGCCATGTAAAGAATTCAGAAGGCAGCAAAGGCACCCATTTATGGCAAGGGGACTGTCCCTCAACCTTCAGCTACCCGAATCGGCTTCTTCCATTTGGTTGAGCCTGGCAAAAAAAATCAAATATGTCCAGTGATAGATTCCCTTTCAAAACCAACCAGGGAAAATAGAACATAGTCTCAACCCAATGTAAGTTTTGACGTGGCTCAACTTCGCGGCTCCAAGACCCGAGCGGCCCATGGAAGGAACCGACGCCGATGGGGATCATGGCGCCGGAAACTGGCTGGTGGCCGAGAGGTTCACTCGACGCTCGAGTAGGGTTGGAGGTCATCTACTTGAGGGAATTCCAAGAACCCACTTCCTCTGGATTGGCCAAAGCCCAAAAAGGGCTTGTATTTGTTGATTCAAGAATATATATTCTCAAAAGGGATAAACTTCAGACATCGGAAACGGACTTCTTGTAGTTCTGGAGGCCCAAACGCGCTTGAGAACGTGACAAGCTCGTCTCAGTCAAACTACGCCAGTCTCAACATCATGGAGCCAATCGTGCAGATCGGTGTGTGTGCGTGTCTGTAAGCGTAGAATCGTCACTGCTTGATCCGAAACATCCAGCGCGCACATGCAAAGCAGCCATCAATGGATTCTGGCAGTGCTCCTGGTTGCCAGCACCTCATTCAACACCACACAAATGCCCGTCGCTTGCAAGGCATCCCAAGGCCACAAAATTGCCCGGGAAGGGCTCGATGCCATCTGTGCATCTGGCAGTCGCGCGGATTTCTGCGACACATAACTTCACCTGGACTCTCCACGTCCCACTAACCAGCCGATGCTCTGACTGCAACGGAAAGATGGACTCCCGTACCGGCTGACAGGGCGCCCTATGCTTCTGCAAACATCACCAGGAAACTCACTTGGTGATGAGCTCAAAGGGTGCTGTTTGGAACCACAAGGGGAACTATAGGGAGCCCTGTGCCCTTCCAGTCAGATTCACCGCGCGAAAGAATATTCTGCGGCGTGCAGCTCTGCCGACCAAATGCTGTGCTCCATCAAGATTGAAGCGAGCCCAAGTAAACAAGGTCTTCCTGAAGTGGTGGGCTCTTGGAACATGTGTTCGAGTGCCAAAAAAAGAACGCTGCACTTTGATCCTTTTGGTGACCGAGTTGTAGGTCTCTTGGGTAAAGTTCCTCGGTTTGGTCCAAAGCTGCTGCCGTCTCGAGTCAGTCAGCTTCACTTCAACGACCTCAGGCGATTCCGGCAGAAATGCGCGGCACCCAAACTGGGCATCGCATACAGGGCCGACATGTTGTTGAGCCATGGCTCAAATAGCATTGGCAACCCTTGAGACTCATGATTCTGACCTTCTGGACAAACCCACAATACCATTGAGTTACTAGTACTCGTGTGCAACCAAATGTTCCTTGCCGCTAAGACGGCCGCGACATGATAAGCCGCATTCCGTTCCCCAATTCGGAGAAGTCCTCCTCCTCCTCTGAACCTGCAGCCAAGTGATGACATCCGATCCATACAGCCTGCGCATGAAGAGCCAAGGGTCAGGCGGACCAACGTCTCCGGGGGGAAGAAGCCTGAGCGCGACCTGGGATTGTCAAGACTTCACATTCTTCATCGAAGCCTTGACAGCTTCGGCCCAGATCCTGTGCCAATCTTGCAGTGATCATGCCGGCCAGGGGTAAACCCATGTGCCATGTTGCAAGCCATCAATCAGGGCACGGATGCTTGGAAAGGCTAAGGTTCAGGCCAGTTTGACATCACGGAAGATGTGAAAGGACCCTGAACGTTGCCAGAGGCATCTTTGTAGAACCACTGGCCTCGGTAGCTGGCGGAACCCATCGTGCGACTACAAAGCCACTCGACCACATGCAATGTGTTCACTGTGAACAAAGCAACACATCCGCCGACCAATACCCCCCTCCCATCTACCTTTCTGCCCTGATGAAAGCTGCCCTCCCAGTCACACAAACCAAGCCATCGCTGCCATCGAATCAAGCCGGGGCCCCTGCGCTCTTCCATTGGTACTGCCTGCCAGGCATGATCGGGGCAAGTCCAAATCAAAAGGTTTCACCACCAGACTCCTGGACCATAGCTCTTGAGGGAAAGCCCCGAAGAAGAAGTAAATCATGAGCAAATAAACGCACTTGAGTGGTCAACACGGCAACTAAGACTGAAGAGCCATATTTCTTGGTTCGGGGTATGGCCTAGAGATCAGTGGGGCCAAATGCCTACCGCTGGTCAGCTCAGGTACCGCGACAGTGCCCCCTCAAAGTCTTCATTGTCCTTGCTCCATTCCCCCCCCCGAGCCCACATTGTTGCCTTCTTGCTCAATGGAAAACAGCTTCTTCCAGCCCCGCCTCTTCTACAAGTTGCGCCTCTGCCTAGAGTTTGCAACTCTCAAGCCGCCAAGAGGCGAGGGAATGAACTCATTGCCATGACATAGCGTTCTGGAACTTGGAACTTGGAAAGAGCCCAAAGCGCACGAGTGATTTCGAGCTCTAAGGTCGGGGCTAATCCAGGGCCTGAAGTATCTGGCAGTCGGCTCCACCAAAGCCACCCCCCCTTTGCTCTGGCCCTATCCCTTGGCTGATGACCACCTTGGCCAAAATGCTTGTGGATTGGGCTCTGCAGCAGAGATGACTCATTGTGGTTGGCGTAATGTTGAGTAGGTATGCGGTATGCAATAGTCAAGGAGTTACACGTCCAAACTGTTTACCTTGCAAAGCGTCCAGTCTTCTTGGCTCCATGCTCATTCCAGCCGGTCCTGTGCCTGACTGAGCTCTGGTTGGGCACAAGAGGATCACATCAAATTCTGCGGAAACCCGCACTGGGCAAGATGTCTATATCACACCCAAAAACACCTTCAAGCTTGAAACCTGCTCATACAGCTGTGAATGGAGGCGTCACAAGGGATGGATGGAATGATTCTGCTGTACAGGTTCCAAAGATATTGGTTCTGGAATGAATCACAGCTCCGTATGGTGGCCTGTGCAACTGTCGGGCCGTGGACAAGCTTGCTTCAAGCCTACCTTTGGAACTGTCCTACCTTTCGGACCGGAAAGTGCCTGCAAAGACTCTTTGAAGCAAAAGGCAAAGCAGCCTCAACTTGACCAAACAAAAGGCAACAAAACCCAAGACGATGCCGAACGGGATGGTGGCATAGCCCAAGCGACGTGAGCGGGGGCCCCTCAACCGAGCCAGGCGCCTGCAGGCGACATGTCCTGCACCACGCGGAGCAGCCAGAAGTGGATCCCACAAGCGAGCGAACCATCAGGTGTCATGACAAGGCTTCTGACATGGCAGCCTTCTTTCAAGCTTTAATCAGGATGGCAGTCGAAAGAAGTGAGGCAAGCTGGGTTGTGGCGGCCTTTGGGTTGCTAGCTTCCAAAACCAGTGCATAGACTACTTGATTGGCATCTCAATTCGCAAACGGCGAGCGATCGCTTCCACGCCTCGGCTCCGTTTCCATGTCCAGAATTCGACCTTGGCTGGAGTGCCGATTGGCTAGGCTGAGGGTCTTCTCCATTTGGACCACCCCTTACATAGAGAAACTGAAATCGGGTCTTGCCTTATGCCCTCGTCTCGTGGATAGACGCAAATAATCACCAAGCAAACACACTCCGTTATTTGAGCTCATCCTGCCACGCTGACGTGCCATTGGGTCCACGTCTGCCTCCGCTTGAAACGGTTTTCTTCTGGAACAGAAGCAACAGGCACTCCAGACTTCAAAACATTTGCCCCTTCCAACTGTACAGGAAGATCGCGGCAGATCGCCGTACTCGAGGAAGCCCACAGCTCGAGCAGGTCCCAATCAAACGGACTTCTGGGGGAAGCCTAGGCTTCCGATCGGCACATCACTCAGGGTCCTCGCCAAGGCAAGGCTAGTCAGGGCGAACAAGCGACTAGGTGATGGCCATGCGCAATTCTCATGCATGTTGCTTTGAATTGCCATGGTCATCGAATGGTCAGGATGTATCAAAGCAACAGAACGACAACAGCTTGCCTAGGCAAACCTGCAACACACCTAAAAAATTATGCTGGCTAGCCAAGGCGCCGTTCCCTGCCACTTAAGCTGCGGCGCTCTCTGGTAGCAGCCTCAGCTGCTTGAGGGTGCTGACACTGAAAACGCAGAAAAGGCAACAGAAACTTCCCCCCATGGGACAGATCCCCCTGCGAAACTCAGGCATCCTGCAACAGAAGCTCAACTGCATCAGCGCCGCGACCCTGTTCTGTCGTCCAAACTTGCTTCTGGTCATGCGATGCAAGCACTACTTTCCTCACACCCCCGCCCCTCCTTCCCTTTTCGGCCACTCAGAAGAAAACTGATCCAGCTTTCTGCACGCTGGGGCGGCGGCTGCTCCCGCGTGGGCCAGGTGGGGCCGTCCTCCAGCGCCCGCGAAATCGCCGGGCACCAGGCGGGCTGCTCTGGGGACAGCAAGGGGCCTCAGCTTGACCAAGGACGCGTCTGCGTGATTCGGACGGTTGGCAAATCAAACGGGGATGCAAGAGGGTGTTGTCAAACATATGGACCCCTTTGCGACCTGGTGCCGCCGTGCCGCCTTGTGCCGCCTTTTAAATGGGATACCAAAAAGGGCCCCTACTTTTGACAGACCTTCAAGAATGATCGGATTGTAAGGGTCCAGAGAATCATCAAAAGCACTCTGCTCGACAACTGTGCGTGTGGAAAATCCGAAAATGTGCAAATCCTCGAAACTGCTTTCATCACTGGCGACTTTTTGCACCTAACGACTGACAGCCTAGGTTGGCTTGCTTCGATGACTATACGAACCTTGCCGTTCGGGCGCTTATGGAAGTCTCCCCGACTCACTTGGCCGACTGGCAAAGACTCATGCTGCCTGCTTCTATCATCCCAAAACGACCCAAAACGGCCTCTTGGCCGCTTTCATGACTGGAGAGGCTGGGAGCTGGTCCCCTGCGGGTCATCTCGGATCCGAGCTGCCCATCTTCAGGGCCCCGCGAGGGCTCGGCGGCGCGCACTTCCGCGCCATCGGCACGCAGGGGCCGTCCTGAGCTTCTGAGGCAGGGCTCCAAGAAGGGAACAAAGCATGGATCAAATAGTCTTCAAACCCCCAAACCCCCAAACCCCCAGCCGACACTCAGTGCAGCTGACCTCATCTGCGTCCGCAGCTCGCTCAGGGTCAGGACATGCAGGAGTCTTCATTGCAGTCTCCTCCTGCAAAGTGCGACAAGTGTACACACCAAAATGAAAATATTTTTGTATTCAAAAAACAAAGAAAAAACTGACTCGGCCATCCGTATGCTGATTGCAAACTGATGCTCATGTTGAATTGCCAAAGATTTGAACTTGCACTGCCGGTAGCGATGCTGACGGACGGGCAGAGGAATTGCTGCACTGCTCCTGAGCCTCTTAAGCAAAGCAGAATTATGTCTTTTGTACACTTTCGTTGCAAGCGTCTGAGAGGTTCACACCTGAACGCAGTTTTAATCCAACTTGCAATCAGCAATGCGGATTAGGCCTCGCTGGAAAGGTGCGGCCATCGGACGCCCGAACTGACACTGTTACTCAGCTTAATGTGAACTTGAACTCAAGAGCACTCATGTGACCTCGAGTGCCCAGTAATTACACGCTACACTCAACCATTTTGCTGAGTCTGAGCATTAGGTTGAGATATCTCTTCGAGAATCTCTGCCTCATCTACCTACATAAGTGAGAGGAAAATGGAAAGCATCTGACTGTAGCTTATGATGTCGCGAAATACAGAGCTCGTAAAAGCAGTGTCTGCCTGCCAGCCTGATGTACTGTTGTCGCTACCTTGCGCAAGGTAAAAAGTGGTCTTGCCAGTCCATGCGAAATCCGTTTGCCACTCCTGCAAAGTGGAATCGTTCCAGCGGTCTGTGATGGTCATGCTGCCACCAACTAGATAGCTCACGAAGGTCGAGCGTTGAGCAAGCAATTTTTCCAGCGGCACCGGACTGTCGCTCACATCGCTTGGAACAAACAAATTTCTCCGAGCTGTGACATGCATCCGGAGAAGCGTCAAGCCATCCGCTGACAGAAACCAAAAGTCGGAAGAGAGTTTGCTTTCCGGAACCACCCATGCCGCGGTCAAGCTTGTAGTTGTCGTAGCCGTCACTGTGAAACTGGTAAGAGACTTGGTGCTTGTACGTGTGCTTGTACTCTCGCTGGTGCTTGTACGAGATGTGCTCGTGAAAGTTGCTGAACTGGTGGACTTGGTAGACCTAGTTGAAGTAGTTGAGCTTGCAGTTGTTGAGCTACTGGCAGTGGTCGTTGGAAGAGGACCGCAAAGAGGAGCAATGTCACTCCGTGAGTTCTCGTTCGCACCGTTCATATTGAAGTAGGCCCTGGATGAGTCGGCTATGCAGCCCCCAAGAGATCCCGTGGCAGCGATGGAACCAAACCACGAAAGGCTCAGAGCAATTGCCGCAGCCTCGCACTCTTCCTCTGGAGCCTGCCACATGCCAAATGGACAGCCCAATGGCCCTGCCCCATTCAGGCCGCGAACATACTGAGCGTCCACAGGGAAAAAGAGAATGGCGACCACTGCAAAAACGGATTCTGGCGGCATGGTCCCGTGCGGTCCCTGGGCCGAAATAAACCCATGCAGGTCTCTGAAAATACAAAAGGCAGCAGCGAAGATAGGGGATGGTTGGGCACGTCAACGGAACAAACTGCCCATGCGGTGCAACCCAACAGCCTGCCCTTCAAAAGGTCCCTCAAGCTAGCAACAGCCCGCGTTTGCGCGGCTCTCCGGGCTAGGCCTTGTCTGAGCCACTGTGATTTCCTACTTTTGGACTTGGACGCGGCATCGGAGGGTATCTGAACTGTGGTGTTGCGTGGTTTTAAAGGGAGACCAAAAGCAAACCAGCCATTTTTTGGGGGTCCAAATCCACAAAGAACGACATAGCCAACTGGACCCCGTTTCTTATTGTGGAGATGCCGGAGAAGAAAAGGAAGAAAAAAAAAGAACAAGCGGCGCTTTTTCCCGCGGGAAGACGGCGCTTTCCCAACGCGCCCTTTGCCTCCCGGCGCTGGTAGCCCAGGCGCTCGTAGAAGCGCACCGCCGAGGCCAAGGACCGCAGCCGCACCTCCCCCGGCCGGAAGCCCTGGCAGGGAAGAGAAGAAAAACAATTGTGTCGCAACGTGCACGCAAAAACAAAAAAGCTTGGAGCTTCATTCCCGTTCCAGGCTTTTTCTTTGCCATTTCCTGTCTACGGCTAATTGCTCTAATTAACCTGATTCTTCTTTGAGACAGCCAGGTTTGGTCTACCCAGGCGTGTTGTCCGGAATGTTGGCACCTATGTTTTTCTATTTTCCTATTGTTTCTAATGTACACAGAAAATTGGACACATGGAACAAATGACTGATTGACCAACTAGTTTTTTCTAATTTAAATAGAAACGGTAGCTGAAATGAAAGGACTACGGAAAGCTTACAGGAGTCTGTCCAGGCTGGCCCTCCCCCTATCATCCTCGTCATCATCATCATCATCATCATCATCATCATCATCATCATCATCATCATCATCATTGTCATCATGTTCATCATCAGTTTCATCATCATTTTCATGATGTTCTTTTCATTTTGTTGTTCATCTTTTCTGTTCGAATAGAAAACATCGCTCAACAACCAATCATGTTTCTCTAGGTTCTATTTGTTCTAATTAAATAGAAAATTTAGCTGAAAAGTCAGTCATTGTTGTCTTAGATTTCTAAGGAAAAAAAAGCTGGAAAATCAGTCAATGGTTTCTATTTTTCTATTTTTTCTAAGTTTCTAATTATTTGGAAGAGGCTAGCTTTCTGGAATGGTGGGACCTATGTTTCCATTTTTCTAGTTTTCCCTATGTCTTCTAATTTTCTAAATAGTTAGGAAAATTAGCAGAAAATCAGTTATTTAATCTGATAGAAAAATATAAAATAAAAAATTACGACAAATTGACTGAATTTCCAGCTAATTTTCCTAATTAATTAGAAAACAATAGACAAATTACAACAAATTGACTGAAATTGTCTAATTAGTTAGAAAAATTCAAAGTTGGAAGCAAATGACTGATTGTCCAGCAATGTGTCTAATTAAGCAGAAAAAGTAGAAAACAATGACTGTTTTTTCAGCTATATTTTCTACCAAATCCTTCCAATGTCCTTTCTATTTCCTCCATTTACTTTCAATGTCCCCCTTAATTTCCTTTCCATGTCCTTTCCATTTGTTTTCCTTTTCTATTTCCTTTGCAGTTCCTTTCCTTTTCCTTTTCATTTGGGCTTCAACGTGCCTGGAATCCAGCCGGGGCAGGCTCCGTAATGGATTCTATACAAAACTTGTTCAGCAGTGAGCCCCGACTTGCCAAGCGCAAACGTTCCCTTTCCTGTCCATTTCTTGTTAGTTGTTGATCGTTTTTATAAGTTGTTGATTGTTTTTGTTAGTTGTTGATTGTTTTTGTTTGTTGTTGGTTTTTTGTTGTTGATTCACCGCCCTCTTCTGAGCGTCCAATGATGAGAAAAACATAGAAAAGCTATTGTTTCCAACCGATAGAACCACTAGAAAACAATGACTGATTTGTCAGCTAGTTTTCCAATTAATTGGAAAATGACTGATTGTCCAAGAAACGGATTTGAAATGGAATGAACATGCAACACACATGGAAAGGAATGCAAGCAACATGGAAAGGGGCGAAAAGATACTGGCGTAAATGTTGGGGAAATGGACATGAAACTCGCCGCGTCCAAATTCTTGGCACGGGAAATTTAAATTGCGAAACGAGCACGTGTTTGGCCCGGGCTTGCCTTCGGCACTTCTAGCTAGGAATGGAAAGGAAAGAAATGGAATGAAATGAGCACGTGTTTGGCCCGGGCTGGCCTTCGGCACTTCTAGCTAGGAATGGAAAGGATAGAAATCAAATGGAATTGACATGGAATGGAAATGGAAAGGAATGACAGCTACTTGTGGATATCTTCGTTCGCATTGATAAGGCTTGTATAGAGGATCTCCTAGTCACCTATCCGTCCTTCCTTCTCCAAATCTTAAATCTTTTCATTGGCAGGAAAAGGATTATGAGAAGGACAGATATAGAGACATAAGATTTACAAATTAGGAATTACGTCTTCCTCATTCGTAAGGCTGTGACAGCTAGCGAAGCGATGGATAGTTTGTTTTAATATCTGCTTTTGGGATCTTTTACCTATATCCTTGGTAAAAGCGGAGAAAGAAAGGAGATGCTCATTTTGCAATTTCCCTCCAGTTTCCCTCCCATGTTGTAGATCGAGGTCTTAAGCCGCTGTGTGGGGCATCTTCCAGAATTTCACACACACACACATTGTTTTACATTTACAAGCATTATCTATTTGATTTACTAGCTGTATCTTGTCTCGCCAAGAATCTATTATTTACTTGTTTCATCTCTGTGTCTTGTCAATAGGAAGTCTATTCCTTAAGATCTTAGTGTTAGGACTGTAAGCGCTTCAAAGATGGGAGATGCATCCAAAAGCGTCCTTTCTTTGTCTTTCATGTCCATTTACTGGCATGCTTCTTGGAAATTCCAGAGTCATAAAAGTTGCAGCTAAACACAAGCCAGATAACATTAATCATATGAACGAAGGGACATCTCCTTACCCTGCGAGGAGGGGAGTGAAGGAAGACATTATCATGTTTACAGCTATTGCTCTCCCCAACCGCTCTTTCCCTTAGTAATCACGGCGGTGAGATAGGAATGAGTTAGGATAGGATAATATCGGGACATGGGCTAGGCCTTACCTTTCATGCCATTTGGCCCGGGCTGGCCTTGGGCACTTTTGCCATCTCTGTTTCTTCTCTAGTCCATTTCTCTATTTGCTTCCATTTTCTTTTCAATTACTTTCCATTTCCCTTCTCTGTCCTTTCCGTTCCCGTTGTTTATGCTTATTTTCGTTTCCATTCCTTTGTGTTTCCATGTTGTTTGCATGTTCTTGCTACTCCTTTCCATTTCGTTGTTTTTTTCCATTTATTTCTATTCCTTTCCACTCTTTTTCATTCACCTTCATTCTTAGCTAGAAGAAGCGCCCAGGGCCAGCCCCGGCCGAAAAAGTGCCCGTTTCGCAATTGTCCATGTCAATAATGTTGAAGCGGCAGGTGTCAATTTCATTTCGATGAAATTCCTTTTCACGTCCTGTCCGTTCCTTTTCATATCCGGCTCAATCTTTTCCATATTCATTTCGATTCAATTCCAAATTGTTCCTTTGTTTGTATGTCTTTTCCATTCCTTTCCATTTCATTTCCATTGCTTTCCATTGCTTTCCATTGCTTTCCATTGCTTTCCATTGCAAGCTAGAAGTGGCCAAGGCCAGGCCGGGCCGAGAAAGTGCTCGTTTCGCAATTTCCCGTGTCAATAATTTAGAAGCAGCGAGTCTCCTTTCCATTTCTCTGAATTGTATCTCCATGCCGTTTCCGTTCCTTACATGTCCTTGTCGCTCCTGTCAATGTTCACTTCATTATGTTTCACCTTCTTTCCATTTCTTTCCAATTCCTTTTTCATGCCTTGTTTCCATGGCTATTTCTTGTTGTTACATTTGCAATTGTGCTTCCACTATGTTTCATGTGTTCCAAATATGTTTTGTTCCATGACGTTTCTGTTTCGTGACTGTTTCCTTTTCATTTCGTTCCATTCCTGTCCATGTCCTTGTTCATAAAACAGTTTTTCTTGTCTACTAGATTGATTTTGTTGCAAAGCGTGATGCTACGCCACTGATGTATCTCGTAAATTAGGAAATGTTAACTATCAGAAACAACGGAAAGAAAGAAAACATGGAGATGTACACTTCGTGCATCGAAACAAGACAGAGGATGTGTTTGTGCTTCATTCATCTCGTTTCTTATACGCCACGCACGCGCGCGCGCGCGCCACATTTGGCGCAATCTTCCCAACCAGCGGGGGGGGGGGGGGAGGACGGGAGACGGAGGCCCAGAGGTTTGCCATTCGGATGGTGGCCGCCAAAATAGGGTGAAACCCCCAAATGGCCTGCCCTGGGCACATGGAAAGGTCGACTACCTGCGCTTTTGCCCAGCTGTTTAAGTTGGAGCCACACCATATTGCGTGCCCTTTTTCCTTGAAGGTGCAGCACGGAAGCTGGACGTGACAGCCAATGGCAAACTGGACTACATAGTTTGGTTGGTTCAGGGTTCGGCAGAGTTAGTTGCAGGGTCCGTGACCTCTCCCAAGGCTCAGCAGATCGCAAAATCCAAATTATTCTCCTCACAATGTCAAGCTGGTTGAAGGTTAAACAGGTGTCGGAGAATCGTATTTTAAAGGAGTTACCCACATTAGGAGTGGCAGGTGAACCCTGCTGTCAGGCTGGCCTGATTCCACGCCCTTCATTGCACATATTCTATTAATGTGATCTGCTCTGAAGGTTCAAGGCAGAAATGCTGGACATGTGGCTGTGGGCTGTGGGTCAAAACCAATTGTACCATTTTGGGGTAGGTGCACCACCCATTTTAGTCTATTTAGGTGGGGATTGGGATGTTCACTGGGGGTACGGTGTTTTGACCCACAGCCATGTCTCTCCAGTTTTTGCGCAAATGCGAGACCCTGTCCCGGAGCCCAGCATCCTCAGCACAACTGCTTCGCACACTTTCTGCGCGTGAGCACATTCCTGGGCAGTATTCCACTATGCGGGCACATACCAAAGTGCTTAAACTCCGGGTTTTTACCTTTGGAGGATATCAACCACCCCTCGGTGTTGGGCTGCTAGCAGGCCTCTGGAGTGTCTACACCCAGCACGGCTGCACGATCCTCTGCCACCTTCCTGAGATTCCAACTCTGGACGATGATTTGCCACAACCAGAGATCCTGGGGACGATTTCAGGCTTCAGAAGGAAACCATGCAGAAGCCGAGCATCTGGGTTTTGGAGACGGTTTTAAGATGGAAAATAAGCCCAGTTGATATCCCCAACAGCATGCAGTGCTCTTTTTAGTGCGCACCACCCCGCAGCCGTGGCAGAACCTGGTGGAACCCCGGTGGAACCCTAGTAAAACCCCGGTAAAACCCTGGTGGAACGCTGGTGGAACCCTCGTGGAACCTTACCTCAGGGCCGCCCCGGACCACCCCGGAGCCTATCTGGGCTGAGACCCCAAAGCTTTCAGCTGTTGGGGAAAAGAAGGAAACAAATGAAGAACCTGTCGTTTCGACACAGCCACTCCAAGCTGCCAAGACTCATCAGCTGCCGACCATAGCCCTTTCCGCGGTGCTTGTCCGCCACGCCCACCGCGCCTGAAGCGCGCCATCTCCGAACCGCTCTAATGCTGGATACAGCATATTGTTGCCCCCATATTAATCAACCCCAGTAGATGAATAGGGTGTCCCTGATTTAGGGGGCAATCAGACCACTTTTGGAGGGGAGCACCCCCATATTAAGAAACCTGGGTTGATGTATATAGGGATTTATCTACATTACCCAAGCAGACTGCATTGAGAACCAAATGCGCAAACAGAACAAGCGAATCTCAAAAGCCGGGCCTATGCTGACACCTGGCTGCGGCAGCCCCCATGTCTTGAAGGCTACAAACCCCAGCAGGTCCAACCTGACACGTCGCTATGCACTTGGGCAGCCTTCACAGGAAGTGTGCAAAAAAAGAGGACAAGGATAAGGCAAGATCCATTAGCTCTCCCTCAAAGCGGTTGATGAAGCAAGCGAGACAAAATCGAAACCTGGTATTAAACTGGTCTACCCAGAACCCTGTAAAGCACTGAACAGTCGGCCGCACCCATGTATGACTGGGTATTGTGACACAAGTCAAGTTGCTACACATATGCCTCTTGGGGTCCGTGCGCTTGATGGCTTGCAAGAGCTTGCAAGCCGGAGGGGTTAGGGCTGGGGAGTCATAGCGTGTCCATCACAGGGCGGCCAAAGCCCCAAAGCCAACAATGATGACTCTTTCGCGATTCAGTGCTGCGCGCAAGCGCTTACGTCAAACAAGAAAGCAGCTCGTGCAGTCTGAGCGTGCCGCCACACCCACTGACAAGTGCGCAATCTACATGAGTACAAGATGTTTCTGTGCTTGAAAGAAGCTTTTACACCATGCACTTCAGAAAATGCCACACACAGCGCTCCAAAAAAGCCGTGACGCCTTGTTGAACCATGGTGCGAGCGTTGACCAAAATTCAAAGGGGCAAAACGCTGAACAGGTCCATCCGAAGCCATGTCCGCAACGGCAAGGGGGCTGTCCCCTACGAACCTTGCCCAGCGGCGTTGGCTCCTGGCCGGGGTGCTGCTCCACCAGCAAACTCAGCTTCAAGTTCCAGTCCTCAGATTGAAGCAAACGGGCCGGAGAGCTCGGGGTTTGCACGGCACTCCCTGGACTGCTCCAACATCACACGGAAAGCCCGGCAGAACCCGCCCGGAGTGGTGAAGCTAACAAGCAGATCGGCTCCAAACGCACGACTTGCACATACCGGTACATCCGCGTCCCTTTGAGCAAGGCTGCCAAGGCAAGAAGATTATTATAATTATTCATTTATTTGTTTGCTTATTTATATTTATTCATGTATTTCCTTGTTTATTTATTTATGTATTTGTTTATTTATGTATTTATTTATTTAATTTAATTAGTGATTTATTTATTTACTTATTTATTTATTTATTTATTTGTTTGTTTATGCATTCATTCATTCATTCATTCATTCATATATATATATATATATTCATTTATTTATGTATGTATTTACTTATATATATATATATATATAATATATATATATATTATTTATGGATTTATGTGTTTATCTATTTATGCATTGTGTGCTTTGCTCCACCAAGTGTGTTCCTCACTTCTTTACGGTATCCAAGATGACGTTCTGTTTGTTTTTTTGAAGCAGAAACAAGCCGCCACCTGTATTCTATTCCTTGCCCACCCGAGCAACCAGCATTGTCATGGTGAAGCCAACGTCCCCAAAAGGTCCCTCCAAGCTCTCTAATCTTGCTGCTTCGGCATTCTCTGCACAAGAAAAGTGGGGAATGCCATGTCGCGCTGACCATGACTTCTCTAACAGAAGATCCTCTCACTGCAGACATCCGCCCAGGAGCCAGCTGAGCCCTCCGGAAGTTCTTCAGGTCCGCGCCAAACCTGACGAGAGGCCGCGCTCCAAGTATGAAAAAGAACACATATGTCCTGCTCCTTCTCCAAAAATAGGCATGATTTCTGGTGACCGTTTGGAAATGGCGTGCATGTGGCTCTTCTCCTATGTAGCTCTCTGGAATTTTGAAGAAGAAGCTCTCCCACTGAATCCGGAGCTGCGCGCTGGTCTCTCAAAAAGCCAAGGAGCTCTTCCATCAGCAACTCAGCCAGCTGCTCGTCGATGACCTCGCCGAGTCCGGAGATGGCCTCGGATCGAAAGGAAACATATCATGCCGAACGCACAAGGCAACGCGCAAACCGTACAAGACGGGTCAAGTGCCAATCGATATTGGACACATTCAAGAGTGCCTTGTATTTTGCCATCGCAACTTAGGAAAATGTCGGACTGTCACTCAGGCTGCTGTCCACACCAGCATTGCGTCCATCTACCAGACTGTTAAATGCAATCCACCTGCGCAATCCACCCTAAGGCGCGAAGACACTGAGGGAACCACCTGCGGGTTTCTCAAAAAAGGGGGCCCTTTTTGAGAAACACCCTGGTGTCCAAAATGCGTCCTGAAAGCCTCCGTGTTTGGGCACCCAGCATAGGCATCCTCCAAGTCAGGGTCCTGCAGCTCCACATCATTGAGCAGCAGCTCCTGCAACGCAACCAACGTGGCCGCAACTCCTCAGGTAGATATGCGGTGCATCCCTGGCCAGGTGTCTTTGTGTCTGGGGGTCTGGTGCTTTATACTTCAAAAACTCCCCCCCGGCATCAAAAAAAAGAAAAAGAAGACAAAAAAGGCGAGGAACTTGGTCCTCCTGCCCCCCTTCTCTTCCACTTTTGCACTGCCTCACACGCCCATCTCTTTCTGATGGCACCGTCCTCCTTCAGCCCGTGCAGCTCGTCCTCCAAGAGCCACAGCTCCTCTTCGAGACAGTACCAATGGCTGCCAACCAGCCCATGGAACACCAAGAAACGCAAAGAGGTTGGGGGGAGGTTGCATCTTGAAAGCTGTAGATGTCTTGAAAAGGTATTGTGATGTTCCGGGAAAAAAATGTCCTGCAAGGGTTCTGAGCCCTGTCGACCTGCGTTCGTGTTGCCATGGTCCTAAAGCTCTGAATAACTCTCCTCCTTGGAGAGTTGATGGGAACCCAGAAAGATTCTGTCAGCTACTGTGAATGGGTGTGTGTGTGTGTGACTGGTAAGATTCGCAGCCATGAATTTGAATCAGGCGGGGAGCATGTCATTGATTCTGACAAAAATGATTGTACGACTGAGTGTGAGTTATCTGTATGAGCTCCCTGTCTCAGATTCTGCACTCTAGAGGTCCATAAGCGGGGGATTCAGAAAGTAATGCTCGTTTAAAGATCCGGGTTCATAACAAGTGCGAGCGGACTCTCAGAGCACAAGCCAAGGTCCTGCGAATGGCAAATAGAGTTGCTGAGCCGCGGCCAAATGAGTATCTAGCCACTTGCCAAGCAGTTTATGACCCGGTTGCAAACCAAAAAAATCAAGCCTTGTTGTAGGAGCTAGCAGCCAGGGAAGGAAACCCAACTAAGTAACTATTTGCTTTCAGGCAGTGACAAATGTTAATATAGATGTTTGGTTTTCCACAGGTCAGTCAACAAATGTGTGATTCTCCTGGCTCCAGGTCAAGCCCCCGCCCGCCCGAATGGAAGCCTGGCCTTGTCTGACAAAGGCTTTGTCCTGTGCTGAGCGATCTTCTTCTCAATCTGGAGGATGTGCTGCCGAGCTTTCCTAGTGGAAGACAAGCTGTGCGGTACCTATTTGGAGAAACTTCATGGCATCGTTGGTTTTCCCAAGCCGATTTGCTTCACATCTTCCACAAGAATGTCCCATCAATAGCCACAAACAAAAGATGGCCATGGGTCAAAAGCCCGTACCGCCAGTGAACATCCCAATCCCCACTAGGTGGTGCACCTAGGTTTTGACCCACAGCCAGATCTACGACTCAAGGAAGACGAGGCCACCCTCAAAAGACACGCGCGTTTGGGACCCTCCCACATGCCGTCCCTAAGGCGAACAGCCTCGAATTTGCGACGAGACTCTCGCGCACGTCAGACGTCTTTGCATGGGCTCGAGCATCCTCCTAAGGTGGAGCGCAACCAAAAGGCCTCAACCACACCCCGCGCAATCCGTTGCTTCCTGTGCAGAAACCTGCCTTTGGGGTCGTTTGAAAGCGGCAAGTTTGTTTGAGCAGCTTCTCGCTTTTGGGGTGGTTTCCAAGGGAAACTTTTGGGTTGCCCTGTTTTGAGACAAGCCATGTTAGACGCGGCTAGCAAACCTGTCAAGGTGGCTAGCGGAAAGGGGGGGAGGTATGAAGGAGCAACCCTCACGTGCCCTGCCTTCAGCACTTCTACGTGCAGCACGCCATCGTCCATGAACCACTTCTCAGTGGCCATGGCGCAAAGCTGGTCCTCGGTCCCACTCTCCACGCTTTCTCAACGAAAAGCACCACATGGAAGCTGATTGCAAGTGGCCCCCCAAATGACTAGGACAAATCCAGTGGGAGAAGATACCTTTTGCCCGCAATTCGTCAATTTGAATGCAGCTGTTCATGGGTCATCCTCGCATGCTCGGCATAGAAGCACGCTCAGATGTCGACCAAGGCACATTGTTGGTCACGAGGATGACTCCGCCAGCATATCGATCAATGCCAAACTTCAAAGCTTCCAAATCCTGTGATGCACGCTCCAAGCACGCTCCAAGATCAGCCACTGTGTATTCTGAGTGGGCCACCACGGTCCCACATTGCATGCCGCACACTGCAAAAAGCTGTCAAAAGCTACGTATGATGCGGCCTTCGAGTCTTGGAACTAGTTCAAGCACCACTGGCAGGAAGACTGGACTCCCAAAGCAAAGCAAGCAGCTCCACAGCACATAGCTTGTGTTTGCCGAGTCCAGAGAGTCCTCGAAGTCCAAGTAGTCTGCCAGCTCATCCAGAATCAGGATGTGGGGATGCTGCCACAATGCCGCGGCAAGCACAATCCTCACCGCAGGGCATTTGGCGCTGAAGCAACCAAGCAGAGCAGAGCAAGCGCAGTCACGATAGCCCACTGAAAGTCCCCTCCCCTCTAGCTGAGATCCTAATGTTCCTCATGTCGGAGCAAAGTTGCATCTAAAAAAAAAGCGACTCGAAGCAAAGAGCTGGCCTGATCTTCAATGTGCGATTCAGCTTGCCTCAGGAAGCTAGCTTTCAGAAGCCGAGCGACTCGCACAAGGGTTGCCCAAACAGGTGGGTAAACTAGCATGCTATGTAAATGCAAGAAAGGACTGGTTGAGGCGAAGACTGGTTTGATCTGTTCCTTTGCGACATGACGCTTGCATGTTTATGCCCTACTTGCGGAAACCACTGCATTGCCACCTCTATCGGAAAGCCTTGGCATTCCTGTTCCCAAAGCGTAATCATGAGTCAATGGACCTGCGGGCAGTAGCCTCTGTCAGGAATGACAGGCATGCCTAAAAGTGTTACATGAATGGTTTACGAACACGAGACCTGAACTTAAGTTGGCTTTTCGACACAGCCGCTCTCCTTGCAAAGCTGGCCAAGTTGCCCATGGGCATCTGGCACGCGGCGGCATCTACCATGAAGCATCTCAAGTGCTTCAGCACGTTGTCCTTCGTCAGCTCCTGGCCGTTCAGATTCGACTCGCCCCGTTGATCCTGTGTAGAAGAACTATGTGGCCGAAGTAAGGGTTTGGGGAGGCCCACCTGTGAATCCAGACAAAAAGAGTACTAAAGAGAACTCGAGGATGCACCCAACATGTTGTATGAGCTGCACCAGGGGCAAATTGTTCTCTAGACATGGAATCTTTCTGCGAATAAGGGGAATATTAGAACTACTGGAGGAAGCGGAAGCACTGTGACGATTGCAACTACATAAGGGGGTGTGGGATCCCCGCAATCTGTCATTCAACTTCGCAAACAATACCGTTCTGCCGCAATCCACCCTGCAGATTTCGTGTATTTGCTTTGGTCCTTGGTGGCCAGTGCGCTGGATGCTTGCCAATCATCCTCCAACTGGACAAGCTTCGCGTAGCCTGGCAGTCATGCCCATGAACGAACCACTCCCTCTGTCTCGGCACCAGCCACAAGATCCGGATTGACCTGGTGTTGAAAAGTATCTAAGCCCATACTGATTGCCCCGATTTCTGTATACGAGCCAAGTCACCCATGTCCATCAGAACATCTTTGGACAGCCACACTGTCTCGGGCTTGCGCTGCCACTTCACTTCGTACCTCAGCTATGTTGTGTCTGCAAACACACAAGCTCAAGACCAACAGTATACCACTGCTTTTATGAGTGACTTCTATTTCCGCACACACACACACAAGCATCCGGTAGACATGTGGTACCGTTCTTCCGGGTTGCTTAAAAGCGATACAAACGGGAAACCACTATTTTTGTGGGAACCCCATTTCAGACAGATACCAAACCAGGCACCACCCCGCCATGAAATTCAAAGGGTCCAAACATGCAAATGATGTCTATCAAAGGCCCAACCGAGTTAATAGCCAAGTCTCGATGGGAGAAGGATTGACATGGGGAATTATGTCCACCACCATCTCGTTTAAGAATGTTAATAATCATATCACCCGTCAAAATGTTGTTTTGCGACTTAAACCCATCTCGGACCTCAAAAAAGAACAAGCCCAGCGACTCCATCATGCCACCGTTGCAGCGCCGGTTGCAGATCTTTTCCGGCACGGCGCTCTCCTGGTATCACATGCCCCTCGAGGTGAGGCAACCACCACGGCCTCCATTGGGTTCTTAGACCCCTGGCAGGTAAGAGAGAAAACGGTGATTTGTCCAAGAGATTTCAAGGTCAAAAGATCAAACCAAACCACCAAGCCCGGGAACGGTTTTTGGACCGAAGTCCAAGCCACACCTCATGCGTCTTTGGCGGCCTTTATCTGCTGGGCATCATCTGTGGTAGGGGTTTTGCAAACCTCCCTTGGGGGTAGTACAAATCACGATATGCAAATTGCCACTGCGGGAGAAGTCTGCCAGTAGAAAGCAAGCATTCAGATTCCCCTTGCACCTTCCAAAACATACTCTAAAAGATTGACTTGCCTTGCAAAAACTATTGATCTGTTGCACACAACCCCAGATATAAAGCTGGTCGACGACTATGGCAAGGATCGCCTTAGCTGGCTCCTTGCCGGCACCACGAAGTGGCATCCCTGATTCATCCAGGTACCACGCCACAGTCCTCACATTCGCCATCTCGCATGCGGGAATCCCAAGCGCGAGCTATAAGCAGTCAAGCATCCTGCGAGCTTGCTCTTCAGGCGACAGCTCATCGGCGAAAGCTACGGACTCTTTGTCCCCTTAACCCAATCCAATTGTGAGCAGTGCAAGGAGCACACAGGTTGCATATCACAACGTAGAGAAATCAGGCAAGCAAAAGACTGCTGTGCTGCCCCAATTATTTGAAGCCACGGAGCTGTGGTCCGCAAATCGCCATAAGAAGTATTGCAAGGCTGTGGCCTCCTGACGGATGTGGGCAACGATCTGTAGAAAAACAGAGCCGCCTACCACCGCTTGAACACAAACCCTGAATGGGAGGTCCAAAGCCACGCGGAGCTTCGCTTTCCGAAAGATGCAGAACCTGCTCGCTCGGGTGTCCGGGTGTCTGGGTGTCTGCTTGACTCGGTCCGGTCCAGTCCCGTCACTCTCCTTGTGATGGCCGAACCTCTGAAGCGAATGCTTGCACACGTAGGAAACGCCTCGTGCCGAATGAAAGGCTTGGGAACCCCATCGGGCTGCATGGTCTTGTGTATCAATAAGCCTTCATACAAGGGGCATGTCGTTCAATCCTCACAGCAAGTAACGCTAGGCACTTCATAAAGGCTTGCCAGCATTCAACATATCATTGAACGCACTACACAATACAGCGGAATGGAATTCCCGGTGTCACACGGGAACAGTCGAGAGTCATGTTCCTCATGCTCTGCGTAATGTGAGTGTCGGGCTTCATGCTGCCTCAACTGAACCATTCAAGTACTGGCTATATCGACCCGGTGAAAGCTGCTGATGATCATCTCAGTAAAACCGGCAAAACCAGAGCGAAACCAACCGCATGTCGTATAGAACAGAAGTGTTTCCTGTTTTCCACTTACGAGTGTGGCTCAATTGTTTGGAGCCATAAAACCGCAGCGATCGCAGCGCTTTAGTCTTCTTGAACAACCCACTTTGTGGAATTCCGATTCCCTTTTTTTTAGCCACACCCGTACCGTGCACCTGGGGCACCCTACGGGAGCCAAGCACCCGCAGCACGCTGCCGTGCGTTGGCCGCAGACGGCCTTCCAGAACCTGAGCGGGTTCCCCCCAAAATCTGGGTGGAAAACACGGTAGAAAAAGACTGTAAACAATAAAAATGAATTGATATGTCTGCTTCCTGTTTTGCAGGGCCTTTGTGGCTTGGTATCTGTGTTTGTGGTTGGGGTGAAGAGAAACCAAAAGGCAACAATCCACTTCGGGTTCCATGTGGAAAGCTTTCGCCGGTGCCTGTGGACAGAGCGTTCGCTTTGGAACTCAGAGATTCCGCCCGCAAGAAACGGACCAAAGAGAACATTGATCAGTAGCCCGGACGTACAAGTACAACTCCTTCCCCAGATGCAAACCTGTTTCTTGCTTGCCCTTCGCATTTTGTGCGCTGCCTCAGTGCATGCAGTGGACGAAGGGTAAGGCTATTGGCTCCGCCCTTTGCGGTTGTTTTCGCTGAGGGAGCCAAAGGGGAATCCCGGATGTGTTGGACTCAATGTGCAATCGAACAAGCGGGGCTCGATTGTTCGGAGGCAAGAAACTCAGATATGCTGTGAAGCACAGCTCCTCAGTACTTCGTATGTAGGACTCCTGCAACAGTAGGATATGCAAGTGACACTATGATCTCCAAATGCCACCCCACAGGTCGTGCAGAACAATATTTCTCACGCCAGTGGTCACTGCTCTGAATCAGAATCACGCCAACTGCCATGAACGAATGACACTTGATGGTTGGTTTCGTGAAATCCTGGGTAAACATTCGGTCACAGTACGGACCGAATTGCTTGGCGTATGGCATGCAGGAGGAGGGACACGCGTTAAACTTTCTATGTGTAGAGTGATTCCTTCTGGGATGCTCTGTCTGCCAGGAACATGCTGCTCCAAGATGTATTGCAAGGCTGTTGCCAACCAAATTGGAGGATTGCTGCTGGCAAATATATTGATGAACAATTCCAGCTGAAATCTGCATCCACGCAGCCCTGGTAGAAGGCAATGAGATGGAACTAGCAATCTGTCAAAAATACAGTGGCCGCCAATGATGTCCACGCTACAAGTCCAATGCTGTTCCCCCAGCATTGGCAGAGAGAGCTGGAGGCAGGAAATTCACGGACCCTCCCAATCTCCTAACGACGCTCATTCTTCGCCAATGGGTAGGAGTCAAGCCCAAACTGCCGGGATGCCTGCAGCAGCGTGGAGCGACCGGAGCCTGTGGGGCCCACCACAGCCACGCGGCTGGCCTAGCAGAGACCGTGGCCAAAGAATCGGAACAAGTTCGGCTAAGTCAGAAGCGAAGACCAAGCCATGCAACAACAAAACCAAGGAAAAGTGCGATAACTTGCAGGGTGTCCCCTTTTTTCTACGTGCAAGGGAATCAACTGACAGATTGAGGAAGATGTTGGGTTGCATGGTGACCAGAATAAAGTGATGGTCTCCCACTTGCAATATTTAGTGAGCAACCGTGGCTTGCAAGTTGCAAGCGCAATATTGCTTTCCTGCAGGGGCTTCTTGCCGCACCTTTTCTTTGGCAATGTCCCCAGCCAACTTCACCTACCCAGGTGTTGATTCTGTCTCACTCGAACTGAAACCGACCGCTTCGAACCCGCGCGGCTCGGCCGCTCCTGTGACACACTGAGCTCCGCATCCCGAAGCGCCGAGCCGGCGCCAGGGTACCGGAAGCACACCTGGTGCAGCTTCAGGATGGCCTGCCCGGGTCAAAACTGAACCAACCCCACATGATTCACATGGGTCAAAATGACCCACATGAATGTGGGAAAGAAGAAACCACCAGAAAAGAGGGACCGCTGGAGTTTTAGTCCACGTCGCCACTTCCAACTTTGGGGTTACTTTTTTTTTAACCCACACCCACTTCCCCTCAACGCCGGGAAGAAGTCGGTTGCCGTAAATATTGCAAGCAAAACAAGGGAAGTCCTGTGATTCACAGACAATCATGTGGTGGTTGCATTCCAATATTTTGAGAGTCCACCATAGTGAGTTCTCGGCACGTTGTGGCTTATCCTGATCCTAACACTCACAGGCTGTAGCTTGAGGTGCAGCCTACATGATTTACAAACAGAAGCAAAGGGGTCTACCCAAAATGCCAAGACTCCTCCGACTTCTTGGCAAGATTGGTTGAGACTGTACCCTACTGCCCTCCAACTCCTGTTTTGAGTATGGCTCAAAAAGGGGCAGCTTGCGCCTGCCTTGCCCCTCGTCTTGACGCCAGTCAGCGGCCCGGGCGTGGGAAAGAGCAGCTTTGTGCCCGGCTCCTGGCGCAAGTTCAGCGAAATGCCGTCCGAAGCATCGCTTGCCGCACCACCCGGCGCCTTTGGGCGGCCCAAGTTTACTTCCCACCTGACGACGCAGTTCAGGCTTCCAGTTGTTTGGACTCATCCAATTTTGGCTGTGCCGTTGGCCAAGTCCTCCAAATCCACCACCACATGCGAGTGCTCGGTCTCGCCGTTGCAAGGCATCGAGGGCTTCATGGGCTCCTGAGAGAAGCTAGATTGTGAGAAACTGAACATGGTGTTTCTGTCCATACATGAGTCAGACAAGTGCGTGAGTTAACTATTGAAACCAACACCACAAATTCCCTGACACATGATGGAAAGCAAGTGCCTCCTGGAGGCGCTTGCACAAGTAGCCAGAAGGCCCACCATGCGGTGACATGGCTGGTGAGAGCGTGGGAGTCGCCAGCATCTTGCCCGTCCAGCACTGCCAAGTCATGTCTGCCATGCCAGATTGGCCAACCCCCGCCCCCCAGAGGGTATGGATTGCTTGGCTTATTCATAAAACTACCGAAGAAGACCTATCCATCATCCAGTGCTCGCACTCTGTTGCTCAAGGAATGGCTCCAGACTTGTCCATCCTCCATACACTCCGCTGCAAGTTCTTCAACAATCGGCGGCGGCAAGTGCTCTCCCATTGCTTTCAGGAGCTGCTCAGAGTCCAAACATGGGCGTCCTTTTGGAAATTAAATGCACCGGTTGCTATGGTTCGCGCAAAATGTCCAGTAGTCCATGGCCATATTTGCCGCATACATGGAGGACTCTATTGTCAAAAGAAAGTTCGGAACTCAAGGGAAGAAAACAAACCTTGGCCGCACACAATTAGAACCAAACGGAGGCCAGTGCCAACTTTCAACCAACACCTGAAGGACACCTGGTCAGCTAAGCTCGCGGCCCAGATGCGCCACCCGCCCTGCGCGGCTCTGGATGGATTCAGTTGCATCCGATTCCCCACTGCCATGGACCCGCTCCTCGCTGGAACCACCCGCGGTGGCACTGTCTGCGGTGCACGCCAGGGCTCCTGGAGGAAAGCAAGGGAAATCGGGAACAGCATATTGGCGTCAATCCGATTGGTCAAAGCATTCAGGTGTAAAGGTAGCATGCAAAACATTCCAACGAGGTGACCTGTTGCAAAAGCCCTGATATGCAATGCCCACAAGTGACAGGTGCGCGTTGGGCAATCCTCGCGACCTCGAAACATCACCCCACCAAACAAAACTTGTACCACGTTCGCCCAAAGGTGAGTCACAACATAACCTCTCCCGCCCAACGCCTGCGCTGGCCGCGGTCGGAACTGCGCCTGCCGGAACGGACGCCCGGGTGGCGAGCGATTTTCGGCAGTTGGAGCCTACCAAGTGTTGCGTCTGCAAACCATTCTTAGGGTGCTTCAGTGTTCAACTCGCACCTGTGGAGTCCAACCCTTGCCCTTCTCGCCCTTCATGAAGTCGCCCTTCGAGAAGTCGCCCTTCATGAAGTCACCCTTTGAGAAGTCGCCCTTTGAGAAGTCGCCCTTCATGAAGTCGCCTTTGGAGAAGTCGCCCTTCATGAAATCGCCTTTGGAGAAGTCGCCCTTCATGAAGTCGCCCTTCATGAAGTCGCCCTTCCCCTCGCCCTTCATGCCCTTGGCAACTGATAAGCAGACGGCAAGTGGGCATGCCAGGCTCTTTCCCAGCATGTTTCCCCTTCTCATGAAACTGCCAACAACTTCAAGACAACTGACAGCTGAGACATGAAATCCCATACCTGAAGTGAGGTCGAGCCAAGTTAAGCCTCCAGAGCTGCACGGTGAGGCCCCAGCATATGGACCTCCCCGAGGACCTCCAGGAAAACCCTGCGGTCTCAGAGCCTGTCCACACCCCTGCGCCAGGCCACTCCTGAGATGGGCGAGGCCGAGGCCCTCGCGGCGACTGGGGAGCATGAGCATGAACCTCGCCAAAACCAAATAAAGGTGTTTGCAAACTCGTCAAAAAACTCGCAAAACCTGTGTTTGCATGAACCAAGAAAAATTATCCCTCGCAAACTCCCACAGCTCCGCTCAAGGGGTTCATGCCCGAACTGGGGCCCCGGCAAGCCAGGAGGCAGGGAGTTCATAGGCCTCGGCAAAGGAAGGCCGCGACTTTGCTGGGGCCCAATGATTCCAACAAGGAACAAATGCACATGCCAGTTGCAAGTTGGCCCTTTTGCCGGTTGAGCGGCTTACATTTACTTGGACTTGCATCCCATATGTTTGGAGCTACAACTACATCCAAACTGCATCCAAATGCAAGATCATGGGGTTGGGTATTCCGAGCAATCATGTATTGCGCTGCTTCATGGCTATCCCATAGAGCATCTGTCCTACCGCGTATCAACCATCTACCCAAGCAACCTCAAATTCAGAAAACTCGGGGCAAATTATCCGCAGCCATCACACCATGTTGAAGAGAGAGAGCACGAGTCTTGGGTCGGGCTATGAAAGCAAGCCCATTCCCGGTGTTGGTGGCTGGTCTAATGGGGTTCAAGGGTACAAAGCATTGTGTCCCTTGTATGTTGGCCCATGGCAACGCATGCGTAAGGCTGAAACCATTGCAAGCTCACAAGGGGGCATAACGACCTCTTGGGGGCGGTGAATTGCAATGCACCAGTGTTGCCTGTTCACTCAGAGGTGATTGCTTCCCACCATAAACGGGTATGACTTCCAATGACGCCCATTTGGTGGGCATCATTTCTACGCACGTCCACCCCTTTTTGCCCCCATCAATACTCTTGCAAGGTCTATTTGACTCTTTTCCAAAGGAACTTGGCTGATATGCCAGTGTCGTTGTTTGAGGGGGTTTTTAGTTGGGCTCGTTTCGCAGCGAAACAAAGGGAGGGGCAAAAACGCGACTTGAGGGGCGGGGCCCACTGGCGCTGGGCGTCACGCATGGGCGGAGCTTGCGGAGCTTGCAAGGGCCGCGGCGGACTGGGGGTGCCAGAGATTTGCAGCCAGTGAGTCATGCCAGCAGGAACCGAAAACAAGATTCCATTGGATGATACGAACCCAAATAAAGGCTCCATACCCGTATGATCAGCAAGACAGCAACAATTTCGGCATCCTGTCTGCAATCGGTGTGAATGGAGAAATGGTTGAAATGGCTCTAGCATTAAAGATTTCACGCCAATCTCACTCCGACACGGGGTATACTTGGCTTCCCTGCGGCACGACCCGGGGTGCAGATTGAGTCGGCCTTTGCGCTGAGCAGAAGGCGGCTCAATTTTCGGCAACTCAGACAGGCGGATAAGGTTCCCACATCCCGGGGAAGGACATCCCGGACCCTGGCATCCCGCATCCTGCCAATCAAAATGCGGTGGCCTTTCGGCACATGGAATCATTCTGCTTCCTGGGTCAATCTTACTGGAACTTTACGAAATTCATCTCAGATAACATTCTTGAGAACTGCTTGAATCAGCAACAAACAAGTACGAGTGGCAAATTGACCTTGGCACTGCTGTCAGTAAGCCTCAGACCCATTGCCGGCGGCCAACCTGGCATATCTTTGGAAGCCTTTCGGTGCGGAATACTGCTTGACACAAGCCCTTCATGTCGACCCCGTATAAATCGACCCCACTTTAATATAAAGGATGTGTCTGGGTTTGGGGATCATCACGTTTGGGGGGGAACACCGCCTGGGGGTGATTAGTATGGGGTCAACATTATACCTCTTGGCAAGAACAGTTGATGATGGAGGCAAGTGAGCAGAGGTTGCAGAACACCATCTGAGCTTATACATCCCAATTCCCAGATCCTTCAACAGTCTGAGCAAGAGTCAAACAAACGACTCTGCAGCAGCCAGCCAAGCTTGCAGCCCGATCTTGCCTGAGTTCGCGGGTGCAGTACACGGCCTGGAGAGCGCCGAAGACTTGCGGACATCTCAAAGGATTCTCCGCAATTCGAAAGAACTCACCGCCCGGACCCCAGACGAACGGAATGCTGGGAAGCACTCCAAGCCCGGGGCCTACTGCCACGCGCAATTCCGTTAGGCTACAGCCGGACGGCCGGTCGAGGCCAAGGCATAGACGGCATAGACTGTGCCGCTGCCTGCGCCGCAGCAGCAGCTGCCGCTTGCGCTTCAGGTGGCAGGCTCCTGGGCTGAAGCGTCCATGATCTCTCAGCAAGCCAAGCAAACCAAGTCCCCCAAAGTCCCCAAAAGCGACTTGGCAAGGATCAAGTCCCAAAAAAACAACTAAACCGATGCCATGCCAAGGACGTGACTTTAAATCCGGGCATTACCCTCAATCATCACCAATGCCCGGCAAACTCGAGCGGTCTTCACCCCAACAAGCATTCATCGTTCACAAAGGAACGCAACACACGCAAAAAATAAAATAAAAAAATCAGGTGGTATCCCCAACAAAAGAACCCCTGGAGCCCTGCCGGAACCCTCCCTTGAGGAAAACTGTCAAGGGCTCATCTGAGCGGCTGGAGCAGAGCCTGCAGGCCTGCAGGCAGCCCTGCGAGCCTGAGCTGCTTTGGATTCGGACTGCTTCTTCAAAATGGGTTTGAGTAGTATTTAGAACAGGGATTCTGGGTCAGGTAGGAGCGATTCATAGCCTCTCTAATGAGTTTGGGATTGATTTCGGGCGGCGGGCGGGCTGGTCACCTGCCCACAACTCGATTCAACCTGAGCCTCGCTGCCCATTGGGCGCGTCAAAACGCGGCACCTGCAACGAGACAAATCCTTTCCCACGCCCCGCCCTCTGAAACAGATCCTGCACAGCTGTTGCACTGTTGAGCAATCTTTGGCTTCATGCCTGGGCCGGAGGACAACCATACGCATCCATCACTGCTAGGTTCTCGTGAAAGGTGATTGTTGCATCCAATGTGTGTTTTGTGCTGGGAATGCATCCAGCCCTCTGCCAAAAACAGTCTGCACAAGGGCAGTGGTTTCTCCTCCTCAAATTCGTCACACAGCTTGAGCGTTCTATTTCACAAGGAAGGCTGCAATGCTGCTGCAAGTCGAAACAGTTCTAGCTCTGCCCCAAAGCTGAAGCAAGCAACATGGCCAGCGGCGCTTGCGAAAATCACCTGGCTTCTGGGCCGCAAAGCAGCTTGCCCAAAGGCCAAATGCAATACACCGAGTGAACAGCGGCCGGCAGCAGATTGAGAAATCAAATGATTCATCAAAACAAAGCACAAAGAGAAGGGGTACAGACCACGAAGTGCACCCCTCCAAGTTTGGACCAAATTTGACCAAAAAACAAGATGTTGGAAAATGTGGTCAAGACCCAACAAGTTTAGTCAACGTTGTCCAAATTCGGCAAACTTAGGCAAAAAGTATCAGACCTAAACTTTGGCAAAAAGCGCACGTGTGCACTTGTGCGATGCGCAATAATCCGATGCCCTAAGCCTGAAACACACACACTTCAACTCGGGAGAGATCTCATCTTTCGAGTACAACTGATAAGTTTCGAGTGGGTG